TAGGGGGAAAAAAAAAAATGACCCGCAATTCTTGACTTGTATCTCTGAATGAAAGTATTAAATGTTTTCTTCTTTCTAACGGGCGTGTGGTGGGATCGGGGAACGGTGGGGGATGGATGAGAGGTCACGGGCAGGGACACGGGGACATAGGGACACCTGTCACTGTCGCAGGCTGCTCCAAGCTCTGTCCACCCTGGCCTTGGGCACTGCCAGGGATCCAAGGTCAGCCACAGCTGCTCTGGGCACCCAAATTCACACCCTCCCAGGGAGGAATTCCACCCCCATTCCATCAGGCTGAGCTCTGGGTGTCCCCAAGCCGGGATGTCCCGGGGTGTCACCGATCCAGGTGTCCCCAGCCCTGGGTGTCCCCAGCCATCGCAGCCACACTCGGCCGCCTCTCAGGAACTGCTCTTTTAATCAAACTACCGCTTCCACAAACCGCTGCCCCGGAGAGAGCGCCCCAGCTGCCAGCGCGGGGCACGGCCGGGCACGGCGCCCTCGGGAGCTCCGGGAGCTGCCCCGGGCCGGCTCCGAGTGAGCCCCGGGGCTGCCGAGCCCCGCCCGGGCTGCGGGAGGCACCTGGTCCGATGGAGGGAGCCGCCGGCCCTCACCCGCTCAGCTTGAGGAGGCTGAAGATCTGCTCCAGGACGTGAGTGAAGCTCTGGTCCTTGGGGGTGCGGGAGGCCAGGGAGCCCTGCGATGAGTGGGGAGCACCCCAGTTAATCCCAGCACGGGCAAATGGGGGCCAGCCCCTCCCCAGCCAGCCCTGCCCACCTTCAGCTTGTCCAGGTAGGTCTGATCCTGACTCCACARCTCCTGGAACTTCACCAGGTCGGGGGCGCCCCTATAGAACTCCACCAGCAGCGTCTGGGGGGCACAGAGGGGCTGCAGAGCCTGGGGGAGCCCCCAGGCCGGGCAAGGGGACCCCAAGGGACCCCGAGGGGCTGGGGAAGGGACTCGGGGGGGTTTCAGGGCCCCCACCCCACACCCACCATCTCCTGCACCACGTCGTTGGTCAGGAAGCCGTCCTGGATGTAGGTGACCTCCACGTCCATGGGGATGCCGTAATCGTTGGGCCGTTGCTGGAGGATGGGRCAGCCGGGGAGGGGTCACTCAGGACCTGACCCCACCCTTGGGGACACCTGAGGGTGCTGGCTGGGGGGGACCCCACCCCAAATCCTCCTCCCCCGCTCACCTCCGGCGGCGGCATCACCCAGAAGGGCGCGATTTTGGACTCCACGCCGGGGTTGCCGGGGTAGAAGGGCCCTGTGGGGACAGAGCGGGGTGGCACAGGGGGGTGACAGCAGCCCCGGCCCCCCGGGACCCCCGGGACCCCCGGCACGCACCGCAGATGAGCCCCAGGCAGGGCTGGAAGCCGTTGCCGCTGCCCTGCAGTTTGAGCTGATAATCCATCTGCGCGTCGATGTCGTGCAGGGACGGCAGCGCCGGCCCGAACGGGTGGCTGTGGTACCACCCCACCAGCGACAGCCCCCGCAGGAACAGGCTCTGGCAGATCTGGAGGGGGACACAAACCGTGGGTCTGAGCCCCCCGGAGCCCCCCGCCCGCTCCCGGGGCCGGGTCACCTCCTCACCTCCTCCTCCACGGCACCCGCGGCTTCGGCATCGCCCAGGCGGGTCCGGCACGGGAATGCTCGGAGCACCGTCAGCACTGCGGGGACACCGGGTGACACCCCCAGCCCGCGGCACGGCCACCCCCCGCCCCCAAAAACCCCACCTACGCTGAGTGTTGGTGTCCCAGCGTCCCCCCAGGTACCCCACCACTTCGCTCCGCGTCAGGTGGCTGTGGAAATCCTAAAGGRAAAGGTCCAAACCCACGGTTTAGCCCCAAAAGGATGAGCCGAGGGACACCCCAGTGTCACTGCAGTGTCCCCAGCGCCACCAGCGATGTCCCAGCCTGGGGAGGGGACGCACCAGGAGCAGCAGGACGTTGCTGGAGATGGCCACGTTGAAGGGCTGGAATTTGTTGATGGCAGCAAAGGACGTCACCTCCACCAGGGTCTGGGGGTTCCTGGAACAGCCACAGCCCCACTGCCACCGCTGTCCCCACTGTCCCCGCTGTCCCCGCGGGGTCCCCGTGGTGTCCCCTACCTGGCCGAGTCGCGGGTCCCCAGGGTGCAGTAGCGCACAGGAACCCGCGGTTTGATCTCCAGCCTTTTCCCCGCGGCGCCGCCGTCTGCCGAGGACAAGGTCCGGTCACCGCGGCCGGGCTGCCCGCGACCCCCGCCACCCCCGCGCCAGCTCACCCGTCCCCGCCGGCTCCACCACGCCTTTGCCTTGCTGCTTCTTGCTCCTCTCCTCCGGTTTTTTAGGAGCCGCCGGCTCCGGCACCGCCACCCGACCCTCCCTGGCCGCCTCCTCCTCCTCCTCCTCGGGCAGCTCCTCCTCCTCGCCCTCGCTGGCCAAGCTCTGCGGGCACACGGGGCTGGCACCCGGAGCTGTCCGCTCGCCCGGGGGGTGCCGGGGGGTGGTCACCGCGGTCCCACCTCCTCGGGGGGCGGTGGCACGTTGGGCTGGTGCTTTCGCAGCCACGCGGCTTTGTACTGGTCCAGCTTCTGGCCCTTGTAGCGCACGGAGGCCCAGCCGCAGCCCGACTTCTTGGCGGGGTTCACCAGGCGCTTGCAGTGCGTGGCCCAGGCACTGGGCGAGTTGAACACTTGCCCCGTCTCCTGCCACGTGATGGTCCCGTCCGAGCCCAGGTCGCCCACGAACTTCTTGCCCTGATGGGGGTGATGGCAGCAGCGTCGTCCCCTCGCCGTGGCCGTGACTGTCCCCGTCCCCGCCGCGCTGGCCCCGGGCCGTGTCCCCAGGCTCACCAGGTAGTAGATGGACAGGACGCCCCTGCCCGGCTCCAGGAGCCCGTCCCGGAGCAGGACCCGCAGGGTGATTCCTCTGCGGGTGAGAACGGCGCCCCGAGCCCCGCCCGCCGCCTTCGCCCCGCTCCCGACCTCCGGCTCGGCCTCCGCCTCGTCCAGCCCCGGCTCCAGCTCGTCCTCGTCCTCCTCCAGGCACTCGTCCCCGCCGGGGGAGGCGGCCGCCAGCGCTGCGGGGACGGTGGGGACACGGTGTGGTGGCAGCCTGGATGTCACCCCGGAGCACCCTTGGGTGTCCCCTGGGGTGTGCGCCGGGCAGGGATGGGCAGGGACAGGGGACAGGAAGATGTGGGCATGGGGACACAAGGACGGAGGGGACACGAGGACATGGAGGGGGGGACATGGGGTCAGGAGGGTTCGGGGATGGGACAGGGGGGACACGGCCGAGGAGGGTGACAATAAAGGACTGAGGACACGGGGACACGGGTGGGGGACACAGGAACGAGCTGAGGGGCACGGGGACACGGGGACATGGGCAGGAGACACGGGGACACGGGTGGGGGACACGGGGACACAGGCGGGGGCACGGGGCAGAGTCTCCCCTGGCCCAGCGGGTCCCCGAGCCCGGTCCGGAGGGCTGCGGGGGGGCCGGGAGGTGACACAAGACAGGTCCCCGGTGGGAGGGGTGGCCCCGCCCCGCCCCTGTCCCGGGCTGTCCCCACCGAGGTCCCGCGGGCTCGGGCAGGTGCATGCGCGTGCCCGGGGTGTGACCGGTGCGCGTCCCCGGCCGGGGCGCGTGTCCGTGCGCGCGTGTCCGGCTCCCGGAGCGCGTCCGGTGCGTGCCCGGTACCGGGTGCCCGGTGCGTGCCCGGCGTGCGCGTGCCCGATTCCCATTTCCCGGTTCTCATTTCCCGGTTCCCGTTTCCCGGTCCCCATTTCCCGGTTCCCGGCGCCCGCCGCGCCCCCGCCCCCCGGTACCTGCCATGCTCCGCTCCCGCCGCTCCCGCCGCTCCCGCCTCCCCCCGGTGCGCGCGGCGGCGGCGGCGGCGACACGTGATGGGGCGGCCCCGAGCGCCCCGCCCCGCCCGGGGGGTGCGGGGACACCGGCACCGGGAGCGGGGACACCGGCACCGGGAGCGGGGACACGGGCACCGGGAGCGGGGACAGCCCCGCCCGGGGGGTGCGGGGACACCGGCACCGGGAGCGGGGACACCGGCACCGGGAGCGGGGACACCGGCACCGGGAGCGGGGACAGCCCCGCCCGGGGGGAAAGGGGACACCGGCACCGGGAGCGGGGACACAAGCACCGGGGGGACAGGGGACACCGGCACCGGGAGCGGGGACAGCCCCGCCCGGGGGAAAAGGGGACACCGGCACCGGGAGCGGGGACACCGGCACCGGGAGCGGGGACAGCCCCGCACCGGGGGGACAGGGGACACCGGCACCGGGAGCGGGGACAGCCCCGTACCTGGGGGGAAGGGGACACCGGGGCTCACGGAACCCCCTGAGCCGGTCGGGATCCCCGCCCGCCGCCCTTCGCACCGGCCCCGGGAACAGCGGGAGCCCCGCACCTGCCCCGGCGGGAGGGGGGTAACGGGGGCTCAGCCCCGCACCGGGGACCCCCGGCCGGGCCGGGACACGACACCTGCCCGCCGCCCTTGGCTCCGGTCCGGGCGGGGCCGTGCCGGGAACTGCGGCGGGCGGAGATGGAGCRGCCGGTGGGACCGGGCCCGGGCCCGGCGCTGCTACCGGAGCTTCGGGATCCGGTGGGTGGCAGGGCCGGGACCGACACCGGCACTCCCGGGACTGATACCGGCACCGGGGACCGACACCGGCACCCCCGAGACTGACACCGGCACCCCCGAGACCGACACCGGCACCGCCGGGACCGACACGTGGAATTCCCCGGGACTGAACGCCGGGTAGCCAGGACCGATTCCCGGGACCCCTCCCGGCATGCTCGGGCACTGTTCCGCCCCGGGACCGACTCCCCGTGTCCCCTCCACCGCCCGAGGCCAGCGGGTGCGTTCCCCCGGTTCCCGGTGCCGTTTCCCGTTCCCGGTACCGTTTCCCTGTTCCCGGTTCCCGGTGCTGTTTCCCGTCCCTCCCCGCGGGTGGCTCCCCCAGGGTGGGACCCCCGTGTCCCCACCCCACAAACCCCCCCGGGTGGCACCCCCGAGGTTGGGACCGTCCGGTGCCACCGGCGGTGCCAGGGCTGGGAGGTGGCAGTGCCACCCCGGCTGAGGGCTGGGRGCATCCCAGGGAAACTGAGGCACGATGTGCTCGTGTCCCTGCGCCGGGGATCCCACCCTTGGGTGCCCCCAGCCCCTGGGCGAGGTGGGGGTCTCATCCTCAGGATGAGGGGACAGAAGTGACAATGAAGGTGAGGGGCACCCACAGCRGGTGGCAAAGCCACCACCCCCGSTGTCCCCTGGGTGCTGGGGTGACAATGGGCAGGGAGGAACCCCTCAAATTCGGGGAGCATCACAAATAAACGACCCCACACCCGCTCCTGGCACCGTGGGGGGGTCACAGTGACCCCAAACCCCCCCGTGCCCCATCCATGCCCACGTCACAGCAGATCCCAATTTATTGTCCAGGCCAGGAGCAGCTCTGGGTGCTGGGGGCGCGAGCCCCGTGAGGCGGGGGGCACAGAGTGGGGGGCCGTGGGTGGCCCCGGGGGTGACAGAGCCCTGTGGGGGTCACGGGGGGCACCCGGGGGGCACCGGGGGGGCACCGGGGGTACATTCAGTGCCCAGCCCGGGCTCAGGGCAGGCTGGAGCTGCTGGCGGTGCTGTTGCGCTTCTGGAGGCAGCGCACGGCGCTGGGCACCTGCAGACCCGACGTCACCTGGAAGCTGCCACACCACACCTGGGGACACGGGGACAGGGTCAGGGGGTGAACACAGCCCTGGCACCCCCGAGCCCCCAGCCTGGCACCCCCGAGCCCCCAGCCTGGCACCCCCGAGCCCCCAGCCCTGGCACCCCCGAGCCCCCAGCCTGGCACCCCCTTACCATGAAGGCCGGCAGCACCGGCTGCGAGAACTTGGCCTTGAAGGTGTGGAGCAGCTGCTTGGTCCGGGCGTTGTAGAAGGACAGGAAACCTGGGGAGGGGGCATGGGTGGGCAGAGTGTGGGCACGGGGTGGGCCAAGGTGGGCACAGCCTGGAAACGGGGTCCAGGCGGGGACAGCAGGGGTGTCCATGCCCATGGTGGACATGTGGGTGTCCGTACTGGAGTGTGGACACGGGGCTGGCAGTGGCCATGGTGCCCATAGAAGTGGTGATGCCCATGGAGGTGACAATGCCCATGGTGGTGACAATGCCCACAAAGGCGTCCATGAAGGTGACAATGCCCATGGAGGTGGCACTGCCCACAGTGGTGTCCATGAAGGTGACAATGCCCATGGAGGTGGCACTGCCTATGATGCTGGCAATGCCTATGGAAGTGACAATTGCAATGGAAGTGACAATGCCCATGGAAATGACAATGCCCACACTGGTGTCCATGGAAGTGGCAATGCCCACAGTGGTGGCACTGCCCATGGAGGTGACAATGCCCATTGTGGCGACAGTGCCCACTGTGATGACAATGCCACGGCAGTGACAATACCCACTGGGATGACAATACCCACAAAGGTGACAGTGCCCACTGCAGTGACAATGCCCACTGCAATGATAATGCCATGGTGGTGACAATGCCCACACTGGTGCCCACAAAGGTGACAATACCCATGACAGTGACACTGCCCACCACGGTGCCCACACAGGTGACAATGCCATAACAGTGCCAATGCCCACCACAGTGCCCACACCCCAGCCCAGCCCAGCGGTGCCGCACCTTCGTGGAAGTTGCAGTGGACGCCGATGCAGTCGGGCACGGGCACGTCGAGCGCCTTGGCCTTGTTGTTGTGCTTGGCACTAAAGCTGACCTGCAGCCAGTTGTTGAGGTGCAGGCACCAGGACGCCGAGGTCTTGCCCAGCTGGTCGAACTTGCCCAGGCTGCGGTAGGCGACCCCCACGCCGAAGGCTTTGCTGTCGCGGTCGTACCGAACCTCCCAATAGTGCTCGTCACC